GGACGATTTAAAACTCTACGCAAAGAATAAATCCCAGCTCCAGTCTATGCTAAAGACAGTTAGCCACTTTAGTGATTCCATACAGATGTCCCTTGGGACTGAGAAATGCGCAGTTCTTCACGTTATAAAAGGAAAACCAAATAATTCCGAAAACTTGTTTAATGAAGAATATCATATTAAGAGCCTTCAGAAAGAAGATATGTATAAATATCTAGGGATAGAACAGCATTTAAAAATAGCTAGAAAGGATGTAAAATGTAAATTGATAGCTTCATTTAAAAAAAGACTAAAGATCATCCTTAGAACACATCTTTCTTCAGGTTTAATGATAAAAGCTATAAATACGTGGGTTATTCCTTCCTTATCTTACAGCTTTGGAATTCTAAAATGGTCCACAACGTCACTCCAGGAATTGGATAGGTTAATAAGAACAAGTATGACGGGTTCCAGAATGCATCACCCGACTGCATCTATGGCAAGGCTTTACCTGCCAAGAAAGGAAGGAGGGAGAGGTCTTACAAATATTGAAGAGTCTTGTCGAAGTCAAGAAAAGAACCTAAGGGAGTACTTTAAACAAAGCGCAGTGCCGTGCCATAAGATAATCTGCAATCTCGATCGCGGGCACACTGCTCTACAATTAGCCTCTCATGAAACTGCGCCAATCTTTATTACCGACAAAGACCGCCTGGAAGAATGGAAGTCAAAAGCATTACATGGAAGGTTTTTTCACCAGCTTCAGCAGACTGAAATAGATAAATCTTTGTCTGTTAGCTGGCTGGTAGGAGGAAATCTGTTCCCCGAGACTGAAGGTTTTTTAACTGCAATCCAGGACCAGGTTACACCTACCAGATCCTACTGGCGACACGTCTTGAAGCAACAGAATGTATCGGACAAATGTAGGCTCTGTGCAAGCACATATGAATCCATTCAACACATAACTGGAGGCTGCGGAGCTCTTGCAGGTACAGAATACTTAAAAAGACATGACGATGTTGCCAAAGTCTATCACCAGGCGATTGGTCTAAAAATTAAATTATTAAACGACTCGATGCCCTACTATAAATATTGCCCTAAAAGTATTTGCCAGAAAGATGGCTTAAAATTATATTGGAATCAATCGTTTATAACAGACCATCTCGTGATCCACAACAGACCTGATATTGTGTTAATTGACGGCAATATTAAGGTGGCTGAAATTATAGATATTGCTGTGCCAAATGACGGAAACATTAACTCAGTCTGTGCAGAAAAAATTCGGAAATATCAAGGTCTAGCAGCTGAGTTAAAAAGTTTGTATAAACTTAATAAAGTAACCGTTAGGGGCATTGTGATCTCCAGCAATGGCCTGATACCGGTGTCTACTGTGGAAGCTACTGACAGGCTGGGCCTCCCAACTCATGTAATAAAGGAAGCTCAGAAAGCAGTGCTGCTGAATACTGCCAGAATTGTAAGAAGCTTTCACAACATTCAATAGAAATTAAAATTGAACATACCTGAGGTGGTTGGAGTTGATTCTCCCCCTCCCAAGTAAACAAAAAAAAACCTTTTGTAAAAGTGTTGACAAATAAAATAATAATAATAGTAAAAGGCTTAGCGAACCCGAAAGTTCTATGCCGACACCACCAATCGCTTATTACACACCTCCCTTCACCATTCGCTGTCCAAACCCAGTCCCTTCAGATCAGCTTTAATGCAATCTTCCCACCTTCGCTTCGGTCTACCCCTCGGACGCTTACCATTCGGCACAGCAAATATTAACCTTTTAGGGATTCTCTCGTTACTAAGTCCAACAACTTTACAAGCCCATTTGATTCGCCGCGATGAAATTACCTCAATTATATTACCCGGATACAGTTCACGTAATTCGGTGTTGTGTAACCATCTGAACTCTCCGGTTAACTCATCCTTCTTCGGTCCGAATATTCTACGCAATACTTTATTTTCAAAAACCTTAAGACGCTGCTCATCCCTTAATGTAAGCGGCCAAGTTTCGCATACATAAAGAACTGTAGGCAAGATGATTGTTTTATAGATTCTAATTTTGAAGTTCCGGGACAAGAGGCGCGAACTAAGTAGTTTTGTCACAGAAAAATAACAACCATTTCCCGCCTTCAGTCTAACCTTAATCTCTTCTTCAATTTCGTTTTTCCTAGTTATTGTAGATACCTAATAGATCCTAGATACCTAAATTCATCTACCTGTTCAAACATATTACCATCTATATCGATATCACCAGTAGTATCGCCATTTTTGCAGCTAACCATATATTTTGTTTTATCCATGTTTATTTCGAGTCCTAGTTCTTTACTGGCTTTCATTAACGTTGTATTTAGTTTTAATGTACAATTAATAAATAAAACAAATAAAAAATTATTTTTACTCCATGATTTTTCAATTTTTTTTTATTATGACTATTTATTTACTTTGTGATTCTTTTTTATGTATCTCTAAGGCTCCATAGCCCACATTTCTGTCTTTCTGTATTATTCTAAAGGGACTCGCCCCAGAATAAATAAAGTATTATTATTATTATTATTAATTCAAAGAAGAGATAGGTACAGAGGAATGGGTATCTTTTTTCAGAGTTCCTTACTTTATGAAATCATAGAGTAATCAAATTTGGAAATCACTTCAAATTTACCAGTAGAGGTAAAATTTCTTAACACATCACCTTCCACCATCTTAGTTTCAGGATATATTTCATCAGACAATATAAGATGGCCAGTATCTTGAAATCTTTCACACGCACTCCTCATTTTTTTGGTGCTCAGAAATAGAATACACCTAAATCCTGGCATTACAAAATAGTAGGTTATTTTTAATAAATAAAAAACAGTAACAATTAAATTAGTTAACTCTTTATCAAGACATTCCATTATAAACTGCTCAAAAATGAATAGGGATATTGTGAGTTATGTATAATTTATTTCCTCTAAAATTATGAAATATATTGAAAATTAATATAAGTAAGATTGTATTTGACCTCAGGAAATTGTCAAAATAGGTTTTTTAAAAAAACAATAAAATGAAAGGTTTTTGTGATATATTTTTTTATTCATTGCGAATTGAAAGAATTTTGTAAAATTCAATAATTTGTGTAATATCCTCTGTTACACACTACCTCTCTGCACCTATTGTGCATACTGCTTATAATGTTGTCACTGATTTTGCAAGAAATTTCATCCCATAAACGTGATAATACTGTTCTCAGAAGCTGGAGGTTAAGATACTGTGAATGGTAGTCAAAAGTCTTCTCTGAACTGCATCTCACATGGGCTCAATTTTATGGTAGTGGTTGATGTGAAATGCCGAAGTAAGAGGTATTCGAAAAAAAATATATATGGGGAAAAGAATAAATCAATAAAAGAATATTTTAAAAATATGAAAATTATAAAACTAAGAGAACTAAAATAAATAAAACTAAATCTTTCATTAAATAGGCTAAAAACAAAACTTGGAGAAGATTTATGAAAAGCATCAACCAAAAACAAACCAGCTCTATGTAGAACAAAATTAAAACCTTATGTGGAAACCAGACCAACATGACATTAGCAAGTCAAACATCAGCAATAGCCTTTCTTCAACAATGGTCCAACATTATTGTGCCCAGAAGAGCATTGCTTCACATTTTAAAAGTACAGGCTGGCCACCCACTGGACTCACCCTTTCAAGCAACAGAACTGGAAGTGGCACCAAAAGGAAAACCTGGATCTGCCCCTGATATGGATGAAATCAATTGCTAAATGATTTAACTCTTATCAATCACAATGAAACAAAGATTGTACTCAGTTAATAAGGAATTCTAGGGAAAGCTAGGGTCCCTCCTGACTAACAAAATATACTTATATTAAAGCTTGGGAAAGATTCATTTCAGATAACTTCATAACCGCACCCTATTGCTCCCCTTTAATGCTTAAGATATTGCTGACCGACCACGAGTTTTCATTGCACTTGCATTACAAAATAGTAGCTGATGACATGATATAGTATCTGTTTAAAATTGCTGGATGGAAAATAAAGTGTTAACCAAAGCGTTTAATAAAACTGTCAAAATGAGATTAGAATTGTTTATAAATTAGCAAATAGTTTTGAGCCATCTCTTTTCGTATTAATGAGAAAATAGGTCCACCACAGATGCTATCTGAATTTTAACTAATGACATTTAAAAAGCCTACACAGAAAGTAAGGTCCTTGTAATATTAACAATAGACATAGATAAAACATATAGTCCGGGAGCCCTTAGTAAAAAACTTTTATATAGAGAGGGCCTATAGATATAGAAAGCTACAAACTCCTTAAATTTATAGTATTTACTGTCTTAAGTCATGAAATAATAGTCAGTTACCCCATAGCCGATTTCAAGCCGAAAATTAAAAATTATGATTCAAAAAGTTCAATTTTTTTCATTTTTTTGCTTATAAGAATGAAATTATGCACATAGGTGATTTAATCTCCTGGAATAAGCTTTACTTATGCCATCCTTTTGATCTGTTGTTGAAATTAACCTCAAGATGTTCAAGTTCACTCTAAACTTTATTCAAGAATCCATTTAATATACGAGGCTTCATGTGATAGTAGCAATTAGTTATTAAAGTTAATGACTATTAGTTATTAAACAGTTATTTTCTATTGCAAAAATCCTTTCTGTTTGTGAAAAAAATTAGAACAACTACATATACAACAAGAATATTTAAGAAACAAAAAATAACATGCTGAGAATAAAAAAAGAAGTCTAGTGTACAGCTTTAAATAAAATTAAACATTAATAGACAATTATAATTTTTCATGAATCTCTTGTCTTTATTAAATAACAATAATGGCACATAATGCCAAAGAAAAATGATATTCATACGTTAAATAATAATAGTGGCACATAATGCCAAAGAAAAATATCATAAAAAACAATGAAAAATGATACTCATCAGTTAAATAATAATAATGGGACATAATGCCAAAGAAAAATACAATAAGAAACAATGAAAAATGATATTCATACATACCTGATCTAAGTTTGGTTCATCTTTTGACGTTCCTGGAATAGCATCATCTCTAATTGACTTACGTAATGGTCGAACATCACGTTTCTTTTTAAAAGAAAAATGACTTGCTATAGGTTTAATATTCTCACTGGAAAATATTTTAAAAATGCAGCTAAAATAATACAATTGACATATTCATTTCATACATTCATAAAAAAAAAATCTGGTGCACACAACACACAACTTTCACTTACCGCTCAATTTTGAATACAAATTATTTTTTGGCTATGTTGGGCTATTATAAAAATTTTTAATTGCATTTTTAACCGAGCTAAAGCTAAAAGCTTACAGCTAATAAATCATAAATACCATTAAAAAAATGAAATTCCTATTTATTATATCACCAGTTGATTATGGATTGTATGACTATTAGTTATTAAACAGTTATTTTCCATTGCAAAGTTTGCTGAAATTGAATTAAGAGATTTACATTGTCTGTCATAGAGAGATCAAAAGTTGTCACACTAATTGGAAATGGATACTGTTGGAATATCACAAAGGGAAAATTTACCAAATTATTCACTAATTTAATTTTATAAAAGGTTACATGATTTTTCGGAATAAACGGATGACAGATACCTAATTATTTAAATATAATATCAGATCTAGAGTTATTTGAGAACCTAACAAAATACAGTCAATATATTTAAGGTTATAAACATATCCATGAAATATTTTTATATTTCACTTCTTCTTTCACACAAGTACAATGAAATAGTAGTATCTTAAACAGCGTCATTGTCTTGAATCCTTGGATTTTAAATATTTTTTCAAACTAAAAAAAAAAATGTTATATGCTTACATTTAGTAAGAAAATTTCATTTAATTTCTTTGAAGACACATGACTTACTTTAAATAATGTTAGTTTTTAGAAATTATTATTTATATTTTTTTAGCCACTCTCCGTTATCTTCTACAATTTTCTACATTAGATATTGTTTTTTTTTTCTTCAATTCTGCGCTTTCCAACGATATATTACATGTATACCTTCTGGCTATTATTTCCGGCCTAGATATGATAGCGGTCAAAGAAATCTCACACATGATATGTAGGATTTATATTTATTGTCTATGTTCTAATCTAAATTGTAGGTGTTCATCAGGTCTAAAAAGAACCAGATACAAAAGGAATTAATGTTGAATTAGTCCAAGGAACAAACATAATGTTGAATTAGTACAAGATACAGATACACAAAACAGGTTTATGGTAGGAGGTGCATAATGACTAGTAAGAAAGGAAATGAGTATGGACTGAATAAATTAAATGATATAATAGGAAATTATAAATGTAAACAGTAATGAATGATACCTAAGTTAATTTTAAACTGCTTAAAATTTCAATTTTATTTTGTTTTGGTGTCACATATTACTTTAGTTAATAATTCCAAAAAGCCATTACACCAACAACGTTTTTAATTTCAATCCTTTCTTTGGAAAGACCTTTCACAGACCTTTTGACACCTTAAAAATCTTGGGCTATTTCATCTTTGTAGATTCTATCTAGCCTTGTCTAAATTATTCCAGTTTGACTATTGCTGTATGGTATATGGGGGTGTCTCTGGGGACCTCAAAGCGAAACTAAAACGTTTGATAAATTCCTTTGAACAATTCATCTTTGGGATTCCAAGGGACGCCTCTTTTTCCCATTTTTATGAAGAGTTGAAGTGGCTTTATCCTTCCTACCATTGTAAGTATTTCCTGGCATCCTTCCTCTTCCAAGTCATCCAATCTATACTTCTTGGATAGATGAGCTTGTTACCACAATCCTCTTGTGACGTCATGACACCTTCAGTAATCAGTGCTGCAGTCAGCTTCACTTCTTCCTACATCTTTGGAAATCGATCGTCCAGGCTTGATACAAAATATCGATTGGGTTGTTTTAAAAAACAGATGATAAAAAAAGAGACAGTTTAGTGTGATAAAAAAAATTAAGAGTTTTTTGTCGTTAACACAAAAAATGTACAATTTTTACCTAGCACCATAACAATTGTCTGGGCCCATCACTGTATTATATTATCTGTGCTGGAGTTGCAACTCTTTTTAAGTATTTGTTAATTGGCAAATATAATTTTATTTTTGTATTTTTCCTTTATATAACTTTACCTTTTTTTTTCTTTTATTCTGTAATTAATTTTTCTGCAACTGCATTTCTCATTTTTGTATAACAGTATTTTTTTTTCATGTCGGGATCACCACTTTAAGGGATTCTGGCAGGTTCCCTCAATAAATACACCAATAACAATTGATATATAAAATTTAATGTTTTGGGAAGAATACAAAAGCTATGAGTAATAAAGTTTCAACAAAAATTCTCTCTCATCCTATCTTTGCATTGAAGTTACCTGTTACTAATTTTACATCATGCCTATGGGCTTGGTCCACAATATTTTCTAACTGATCGTATAAATCATCCTTCACCTCTTTATCTTTATCTTCGGTTGGTGCATACACGTTAATTACTGTAATATCAAACCAATGACCGATTATAATACACTAATCCTTTCATTTATTGGAATGAATTTATGTTTGATTTCCTTTCTGCTGGACTAAACATAAATCCCGTGTTGGCTGTCGCATTTTTATTGTTTCTCCTAGAGTAGAATAATATATGGCAGTTAATAATGGTTTTGCTACCATCTGGCCATCTTACCTCTTGAGTGGCTGTTAATGGTATGTTATACCTTTGACTACCCTTTTTGTGGCTCCTGGTCTGTATAAACTACATACGTTCCAAGATCCGATCCAATGTATAGTTCGTGATTCCAAGCCGAGGTCATTACCATGTTTAGATAGTCTGATTTTTCAAGACTTTTAGATAGGATTATTAGCCCTGTGCTCAATCCCCAACCTGAAGAACCAGGAGCTATGGTGTAAGACATAAAGGTCGCTCACCTCCCTGTGAATCTCTGGGTGGGGATGTTACGGTCACTATGCGGGAATCGAACCTGTGCCATGGTGGTCCAAATAATCAAGTAGCGCTTGCAATTTTTATTTTTTTATTATTATTAATCTTTATCTTTTTGTTCCCTCAAACGAGATTTGAACTTATGACTTTTCAGTTTCAATAAAATTCTAAACAAAAAACCTCTACAGGTTGAGTGTATTTTTGAAGGTGCCTTAACTCTCTTGACCACCACATCGCAAAAGAACATGAACCCTAACGGCCCCTTGTAAAAAAACATGTCAACATATAAAAGCTTAGTTGTCGTATTCATAGTTCATATTTTCATCTAAGAATTTAATTTATTAATTGTGGATTGATGGTTGACAGTAGTGAATAATTGAAGAGAAGGATGTTTACATTATCCTTAATTTATACTATATTACATTATACTTCCTCTTTAATTTTAATTCTTTTTCATTTTCTTCAATCACGAGTTTCACATAGATCATTAATACTCCATTATTATTTAATGTTTATTACCTCTACATTATACCATCTCCTTAATTGCTTAATAAAAGACTTTCTCATTTCCGTTTAACTTAATGCAGTTTTTGTTTTCTTTAATCTCATTAAAGAAATTCATTTTTCATTTTCTTTAATCTTAGGTTTCATGTAGATCAGGTATTCTCCATTATTTATTCTATATTATATTATTATACTATATTATCCTTAATGTATACTATATTGCAGTATAGTATCTATTTAATTTTAATTCTTTTTTGTTTTCTTTAATGTCCGTTTTGCATTTATTTCAGTAATACTTCATTATTATTTAATATTTTTTATAATTGTGGGTAAATGGTTGACTGTCGTGAATAATGAAGAGAAGAATAGTTGGGGTGATCAGTCAGAAATAAGAAGGCAAAAATAAAGGATGATATTATCATTTATTTTGGCCTTCTTATTTCTGACTGATCACCCAAACTATTCTTTTCTTCATTAATATTTTTTAAATCTGTTTTATACTATCTCCAGATACCTTACTTACTTCCATCCTCTTTCAATTACACATTTATTTAATAACTCATAGAATTTATCTATAATAAATCTCTAGTCCATTCCATTATATACATTTCTGTCCTTTCGTTTCAGTTAACTGTTACTATGTAAGCTCTATTCTTTTCTGCTGCAATAAATTTGTCTTTCGACGATCCTTTGATTGACCAGGTCTGTTTATTTTTCTTATCTTAGTTTTCTCTTTTTTTTCCCCTCTTTCCCGTCATTTTATTTTCCATATCTCCATCTCTATTTTGTATATATTGATACATTTGCTCAATTATCTTGTTTAGATTATTTTAACTTTTTATAATCTTATACGTAGTCGGTATATTTTGATAGATTTTACAATATCTCAATTTTCTATTTATATCTATTATTTCCTTATATAACTTCACATTCCTTTTCTCTATTTTACATTTTATTCTAAGATTATCTTACTTCCTTTTAGCATAATATTACTTCATTATTTGAGCAACTATAGGTGTGAATGTGTTTTATATATTTCAATTTCATTTGGCTTTTCTCTTTTATTTATTCTTTTTTTTTTATCTATGTATGTTAAACTCTTTTTCTTTTATCTCTATTTTAGTTATCATTTGTATGTATATATTGTGTGAATGTTTAATGTTGCCCTAATATTAATGCCCTCCAATGCGGCAGAATGTATTAATTTAAAAAATTTTAATAAAATTTTGCTAAAATAAAATTTTAGCAACTATGTCACCCCTTTTATTTATTATTATTATTATTATTATTATTATTTGTCAACACTTTTGACAAAAGTGTCATTTTTCATTTCTTATGTTACCTTATTTTGATTATGCTTATTTCAATAGTCCATACTTTGTTTCCGTTATTACTATTTCTCAGTTCTCTGTTACTGTCATTATTCTACCTACTTTATTTTATTTTAATGTGCACTCTATCTACTTTATTTTTTAGTTTATTTCACCTAAATTTTTTAGTCTATACCTTTCACCTTTTTAATTTTAATTCTTTATTATTCAATGTTTATAGTTTCTCATACCTGTTGTTATCTGTTTTTTTTTTCTCGGCCCTGATGAAGGCCTGAACTTTGGGCCAAAACGTCGACAAATATAAAAATAAATATAATTATTTATTTTTACTATTTTTTATTTTGACTG